CGACCCTGCACACAAAAAACTACAGACAACTGAGGAAAGTGGGGAGTGGGAGAGGGGCTCTTCCCTAGGGAAGAGCACACCAAATGATTGTCCAGCACCAAATAGTCAGCCCTGTAAACATACCCACAAGCACATTATATGGATTGAGCAAGTTATATTTAGGGCCATGAGTGTGTGCACAATAACAATCAGTGAAAAGGGGGCCGTGATTTGAAGGAGAGTAGGGAGGAGTATTTGGGGAGGTCTGGAGGGAGGGAGGGGGAGATGTTATTGTATTATAATCTCAAAAATTAAAACAAACACCCGCCTAGATATATTTATGCCCACCATGGAACAATGTTTAAACACCCTCTCTACTATGGTTCTGGAGCAAAGTGCTAATTAAACTTGTTCCTTAGAGATGGCTGGAACTGTTCCAGACAGAATAAAAATCAATAGTGACATTCTTTGCGCTCAGAGAATTCCCAAGTATAAATTTAGTTTTCCATGGATTTCCCACAAGCAACCACCTTTGATCGGAACAGGGCTGCAAACGGAAGACTCCCTGGGGCTGAGAGATGGGTTGAATGGGGTCTAATGCTCTCAATTTGAAAAATACAAAATTGGAAAATAAAATGGCTGTCTAAGCTGGCCAGCATGTCCCATAAAGCATGTTGATCAAAGATGCAGTTTCTGAAACACTGAGGAATGACTAAGGGAATCCACGGGGATGCAGGGGAGTCAGAGCCGCTAAAACCTGGTCCCGGTTGTCCCATCGGCAGACAGCAATGTCCTGATAGATGCTGCTTAGGGAAACATAGTGTTTCTTTAAACATTCAATTATGGCTACACAAACACATATTTTAAGCCACCAGCAGATCTCTGGACAAATTAGGGATGCTAGAAGGCAAACCAAACAGATTTCCTGAAATGAGTATTTAATAAGAATCCAGTCCTGTGAAGAACCGTCTTACCGTGGAGGAATTTGTGAAGGATAATGAGAGGACTCTGCCAGAGTCAGCTTTAGATGATAGCTCTTATGACTGAAGGGGCCAAGGCCACTCTTAATTCAGTTTAATTGCTGAGCAGGTTTTTAATTATAACAGATTTCAGGGTACCCAGGGGTTTGGTGCTCAATCAGTAGACCATCTTCGCTCTCTGGGAGTTGCCAGAGGATGTTCAAAGGTCTTTAAAAAGGGCCCTGCACTGGGTGTCCTTCCATGACTGGCACACACGTCGTCCTTCCTCTTTTTAAACATTCCTAAGTCTTGACATTTTAAAATGAAATTCTTTCCTAACTTATAATATGGTATATTCTTATTGTAAAATGATAAAGGCTTTTATAATTCCTATGTCCATAGCGATGTGGCACGCATGTCGTTTAAAAATAAAAATGGACACCATGTATGCCATTTCCTAACATGATATTTACATTGGGTACATCACGGAATTTCTTTTTGATAGTAAAGTTCTTCATTGTTTTAATATCTCCCGCCAATATAATTTTGAGGAAGAGACTCGACAGTGAACGACTTTGAACCTGGGGCTAACTCCTAGGGTGTAACAGGCTGGCCATCTGATTGGTCAGACCCTCAACTGTCCTGATGCTAAATATTTAAATGACCTGTTCTTATTTCTTATAGCTTTATTTGAACAAACTTTCTAAATTGAATTTCCTGGGCCAAAGGCTATGGAAATTAAAATTTAATTATATGATGTTTGATTAATTACCTTTTGTGTCTGACAGCATGAGGGAGATCGTAACATTTTTACCCTGCTCACAAAATGGTACATTTTGAGGTATTCATTGCTTCATTTTTAATAGACGTTTCTTCTTGAAAGGTCACACTGAATATTTGGGCAAAGCATCATTAAAAGAGTAATAGCAGAACGTTCTAATTATGAAAACATTACTTTTAACGAATGTGGTTGTTAAAGTTGGCACAGGTGGGGACTGAGGATGGAGCACACACAAGGCCCTGGGTTTGATTACCAGCAGTGCAAAAAACAAAATCGGTACATCTAGCAATTAGTAAATCAAAGCTAGCGTCCAGGAGGCTAGGTTATGTCCTTGCCATATATTTTAAATTTATTACAATAGTTTTTTATTAAGTTTTTTTTTCTTTTTGGCCAGGACTAGCCTGGAAATTCCCTATATAGCCCATACTGGCCTTAAACTTATGGAGAATTTCCTGCCTCAGTCTCCAATGTGCTGAGATTACTATACACACCACCATGCCCAAGTAATCTATATACTTTTTTAAAAGATAGATTTACTTTTATTTTATCTGTATGGGTGCTTTACCTACACACATGTCTGTGTACCGTGGACTGTAGTGCCCAGGGAGGCTAGAAGAGGGCACTGAGTCCCCTGAAATTGCAGTTACAGACAGCAGGGTGCTGCCATGTGGGTTCTAGGAACAGAACCCAGGTCCTACCCCAAGATCTTGTAACCTCCAAGCCATCTCTCCAGTCCCATAATCCGCACACTTCAAAAACATGGGCTGATGAAAAGATTAGGGGGAAAAAAGACGTTGAGAAGAGAGGGTTTCGTGTTTCTAGTTTTCTAATTTTGGGGTTATCTCAGGAAAGGCCTAAAGGGTGGGATAGGAATAAATCGAGGCACTTTGGGGATGATTTTCCACACAAATTATCCCGTCTTGTTGTCAGCCTGCATCACACTATCTCCATTAACAGGGCGAATCACTTTGAGAGGGAGCCGCGAGCAGGACGATTAAGCCACTTTCCAAGCCAGAGAACCAGGTGGGGCCAAGATAGCATTTTATATGGAGGGGCAAGTCAATATGACAAGTGAAATGAGAGTATGTAGATTGTCCAAAGACTGTGGTGTCAGCTCGAGAGACCAAAGCAAAGGCATGCTGCTAAGACAGGAATCCACCTTCGCGCTCACCCTGCCACCCAGGGTTTGCTTGTTGGTTTATTTTGCTCTACCTCTTGTTTTCACCCCCTCGGCCGTGCTCTTGTCCTGTTCCGGAGCAGACGTTTTGCAGTAAAAGACAGAAAGGATTTCATGAGATTTTTCCATCTCCTACCTACATCCCTAAGATCATGTGTAAATCAGGGTCACAGTCTTCCCTGTGCTGGGCAACATGTTCCTTCAACAGCTAGATACCCAGAGCATACACCACACAGACCTTTCTAAGCCCATGCTGCCAATAGTAACAACCCATAGAGGACACGTGACACCACGGGGGTTCTTATGAGATTCTTGTTTGTTTTCCTGTGTCTTTCAGATAGCATCTAGAATACAAGCTTTTTTTTTTTTTTTTTTTTTTTTTTCTCATAGCTGTGACCAAATATTTGACAAGAAGCATCTTCAGGGAAAGTTTACTCTGATTGACAGTTGGGGAGCACAGTCTATCATGGTAGAGAATGCACGGTGGCAGGGGTGTGAGGCAGCTGGCCACACTGTTCCCACTGTCAGGAGCATAGAGAGCATATCAGTGAGACAGGCTATACAGCTGATCTACCTTCCCCAGAGAATCCCCACCTCCTGAAGCTTTCACAACCTTCCAAAGCAGTGCTACCATGTGAGAACCAAGTGTTCAAACACATGAAGACAGTTCCTATTCTAGCCACATTCACTAATCACCTCCATGGAGATATTTTTAAAGCCATACACGTGCAGCAATGAAAAAAGTGAATATCTCACAATATTCTTAAATGAACAAAAACAGAGGGGCTGAGGAGATTGCTCAGTGGCTATAGTTCTTGCTACATAAATATGGTGACTTAAATTTGGAACTCTAGCACCCACATAAAAGCCAATATCTACAATCCTAACACTAAAAAACAAAGACAAAAGGATCCTGGGGGCTTTCCTAGGGAAAACTTAGTTGTTTAGCTCCAGGCTCAATGAGAGACCCTGTCTCAAAAAGCGTAGAGCAATTGAGGAAGTTAGCTTCTGGCTTACACATACAAATATACATCGATATGTGTGTGCACGTACATGTGCGCACACGCACGCGCACGCACACACACACACACACATCCACTAATTAATTACAATGTCTAGAAAGATCTTTAAAATATTTTCTTTCTGAAGGCAGATACATAAAAGCAATATAATTTTCAGTTTAAGCTCCAAGTATTCAATCCATGTGCCTGAATCTATTTTCAAGTCATCAGGATATAAGAAAAGCTAATACATATCATATATTCACTGTTTTGCAAGCCTTTGATCTACTTGGTGGTGAAGGGTAGACATGTAAGAAGAAACGCAAAGTGGCAGCTCGCAGATCCCAGGGAGCAGGCTGTGTCATTTCACATATACCGACTGAACGTACTGTGTGGCCTTAGATGCCGCATGGCAGGACATCTCTTCCATCTGGCTTTCTTAGCCACAAACTCAAGCTCTGATCTGATGAGCATCCTGATTTGTCCCCACCAAGATTCACTCTGGTTTCTGGGACTGTATGTCCCCGGTGGATGTCTTCCCTCTTCTCTCTGTCAGCTCCCCGACTCCCCACCCCATCTTACTGAAGAGTGAGGAAGAAAAGCTAGCTCTCCTGCAAGGGGAAAGCTCCAAGCTCTCCTGCTTTAATCCAGGTGGGACCTGGCAAAGAGAGTTATTCCTTTAAACACAGACTGCTTGCTGGAAGACCTCATTAGCTAGAGGAAGAATTAAATAGATAAGAAAAGCCCTTTGTAACTGTGGTACTTGCGGGAGGGCTGGTGTGGGAGGGGGCATAAAATGGAGGTGAAGAGAGTTCTCAGTAGACAGCACTTCACCTGAGAAGTCTTACACAAAATGTAACAATACCCATGCTCTCAGAAAAGCAAACAAAACAAAAAAAAAACAGTGCCCTGTTTTCTGGAAATTTATAATTTCTCCCATAAAGGGACAAATTTTTAAATAAAAACATAAGATGAGTGTGTAATACTGGAGCAAGCTTGTGAGATCAAATACATCCTGACGGTGACCTGATTATAGAACAGGTTTCAGCGAAGTGTCCTAACTTTCTCCTGTCGCTTTCTGAGTGAGAACGAAGTTGACTTACTCGTTCCTTTCCAGACTTAGGATCAGTTCTCGGCTCTCCAGCTGCAGCTGCACAGTCAGCACATCTGGATGATCCTGGAAGATAGATAAGCAGGAAGTTAGCTGGAAAGCACTTGGTTTCACCTTGCCAATGTCCTGATGTTCTACATCACTATAGTCAGCAGAGAGGAAGGAGGGGGCTGTCAAGACTGATTTGAGGGAGAGGAAGGGGAGAGGTTGATTTTCTTCTTGGGGACTTTCTTTGACTCCAAGTACCAAGGACCAGAGTGGCAGAATTGGAAAATGGGACTCCTGGCTTTGATGTAGCCTTTGTACTTTTTCCTTTGTCTATTCCTCCTTTGAACCTTTCTCTCTGAACATCAACCCTGACCATCCCAACTATTCTTTCCTTGATCTTCCCCAACAGCACAAAGGGCACCTCTATTCCTTGCCTGCTCACAGTGGGAAAACCTGAAGTCCTCCCCTAGGTTCTCTGGCCACACCCACCCCTCTACTGACTGTAGCCAGTCCTGCAGAAGCTGTTCACTAAAGCACCTCTCTTGCTGCCAAGGCCCTTCCTATCCTTCCCTCCACCTTTTTCCTGTCAACTCACAGGCAACACTCAATATGTGCCTTCCTCCTGTCAACCCTTCTAACCCAGGTCCTCCTGGGTCCACCTTTCTTCTCTTCCCATCCATCTTCTCCAACCGTGGAAGGACAGTTACAATTTCAGTCTTGCCCGAGCCTGTGCTCATCTCCCACTGCACTAAGATACTGGCATTTGAACCCAGCCTGTGGTTCCCCATGTCCTCTTCTTGACAGGCCTTTAGTTCTTTCAACACATGCCTACCCTGTCCTCCTCCCTCCTTACCTGGCTCTAGTTCCTGATCGTGCCTGCCCTTGGAACGCAAGAGTTGTCTTGTTGCTCTGAGAATTTGCACATGCTGGCTTCTCTATCTGGGATGCGTTTCCTGTCTATTGGAATCAGCTTAAAAGTCAGCTAATAGGAGAAGCATGACCTCAGCACCAATCTCCTGCTGCTCTGTCCTTTTCCCCTTAGAAGGAAGGGGCCTCATACCTACTTGTGATCAATGTGTTGGCCTGTGCTTCTTTATAACGTTTATGAAAGTGCTGGGCAAATCATAGGTGGGGGTGAAGGAAGGACTCCATCCCTGCTAGGGAAGTTCTTGCTCTACCGCCCTCCCTCCCCTGCTTCTCTCGGCTAACCCATAATAGCCACACATCTGGGGATGCAGCGCAGTCCTAGGGATGGTGCCGCCCACATTTAGGAATGCGGCTTCCTACCTCAGTGAACCCAGTCTAGACAATCCCTCACAGATATGCCCAGACACTTGTCTTCAAGATGATACTAGATCTTACCAAGTTGATGACCAGTTCAAACCACCATAGTATATTTGGAGGGGTCTGGTTAATTAAAAAAAAAAATCTAGTAGAGGAAGAGAAGGGAGGGAGATTTTCATTCTGATGTACTCACTGACGGGATATTTTAGTTTAAAAGCATGCTTACATCCATTTTCCTAATTGTTATTGATTGAAGACCATCAAGCCCAACATTCCTTTTCTGAAGATGATATATTGATTGATCACCTAACAGAGCTACATCCTTTGTTGGATGTGCAAAGAACACTATTCACTGAACCAATCAATCAAATTCTAGTCAATATGCCAAAGACATTTAGGCAGTAACTATGATTTTATCTCTTAAACCAAGGAAAGCACCTCTAAACAAATATGTAAAGCGCATCGATGCACTTTTCAAAAACAATAAGATAATATGTTACCTACTCTGCAAATGAAAATACAGACTATTCCCAGAATTGTAGAAAGCACATTTTTCTAGTTTGCTTTTCTGATTCTGTGGTAAACACTGTCACCGAAAGAAACCTGGAGAGAAGAGAGCTTATGTGTCTTACAGATTATAGTCCATCGTTGAGGGGAGCCAAGGCAGGCACTGAAGCAATGGCCCTGGAGGAACGCTACTTACTAGATTATTACACCCAGCTTGTTCAGTTACATTTATTATATCAAGCCCAGGTCTAACTGCATAAGGATAGAACTGTTTAAAGTAGGCTCATGCTGTCTTTCACATGTGTGTGCCCCAATCTTTTCTTATGAGGACACCTGCCTTGTTAGGTTAGGACCTACCCATGTGTTACAGATTGAATCTGAAATGCCCCTCACAAGCTCTTGTTTTGAATGCGTGATTCCCAGTGTGAGATGCTATTACTATGTTGTGGCACATTTATGAAATGGGGCCTACTGGTGGAGGTGGGGCGCTAAGTACAGGCTCTTGAAGGCTCCCAGTCCCTGGATATGGCTTCACTTTCTGCTTCCTGTCCGTGCTGGGGTGAGTAGCTTCTGCCAATGTATTTTTACGTTCATAAGTTGGGCCACCACAGCATTCGTTCCCTGCCAGAATGACTGAAATTGATGCTGAGCCAAAATTGATCTTTTCTTTCTTAATATATCCTGTCAGGTATTTTGGCCACAGTGATGGAAGGGTCATTATTGTACCCTATGACCTCAGTTTATCCAGGCAGCCTCTTAAAGGCCTCCAGATGTTCTACATGTCATGGTTAGGGGTTAGGGCTTCAGTAGATCTGGCAGGGCCAGAGATGTGGTTCACTCTACACATCTCTTCTTCATTATTACATCCAACTCATTCCTTACACACCGATACACACACACACACACACACACACACACACACACACACACACAATTTTCAATGACTTAGAAAAATCTGACCCTGATCTTGAAGTTGAGGCCACGTGGCAGTGACTTGGTACCAGACTGAGCAGCAGCACAGAATCACCCTCAATAGCCATGCCTATTCCCATCACAGCCTGAGGTCATCCTTTCCAAGGGACCCATTGAGAGCCAAAGCCATCCATCTGAACCATCCACGCTGGAAGGTCAGGGGGATCTTATTTTTCAGGCATAACAACAATATTAAAATACTGCATTCAAGGGAACTCAGGAATAACTAAATCCCTCTCCAGCACTAAATAAATGTTTCAGACTGCAGCCCTGGCATTCATGGGGCACAAGGGAGGCATTTATTGCTATGAATATTTAGAGGCATCTTGATTACCACTTTAATATTAGCACGTTAGCTCTACAGCCTGCGAGATCTGCACACCACGGAATGCAGAGAAGACAAAACTGAACTAAATGCAGGATAGCACGGTGAGGAATTAAGGCAGCACCATCCCAGGAGGTCCCTGGCTTGGGGCCTATTAGTTATTACATAAGTGATAGTGATTTTTTATCGGTGAGCTGGTGATCTTTATTTTTGCAGTTGGAAAATTGGTATTAGCATGGCCATGTGTCCAGCTGTGAGCCGAGCACAAACTCTCCACAGTGAAAGCTGCTTAGATTGTTGCTCAGGGGTAGAGTACTTGTTTAGCATGTATAAGGCCCTGAGTTGGATACCTAGCACTGCCAATATGCACGTGCACACATGAGCAAACACACACACACACACACACACACACACACACGTACACGTGCACGCGCACACACATGTACATATGAAATGAGGTTTTATTTTTACTTTCCAATACTGGGTTCACTAATTATATCGGGTAATCTCTCCAACTTCATTTTGTGACCTAAGACACACCATTGCTTTTCCCTCTGGAGAGTATAATGCATGTCTGAGAAAGTATATTCCTACCCTCTTCTGGCCCAGGAAGGGCTTTAGTTCCCTTCAACGCCCCTACCCTGGCCCAGTTCTTAGTCTATTTGTGATTATGGAATTAATTAACCCTCACATTTGTAGCAAATGATTTAGATTTTTATAGCTTTATGTTGCATTCTAGAATCTAATGTTGAAATGTCCTCCCTAGTTTCTCTGTGAGCCCTAACCATTGACCATTGTCCTGGTCATGACCACCTTAGCAAGCCACGCACTCTTTCCCTGGTTCTGCCTCTTCTAGCAGATATTACCAGTGGGTAGTCATTTGTGTTTTCATTTATTTTTTAATGGTTCACTTCTCCCAGGAGAGCAGAATCATCGTGAAGGCAAGCACGCAAAGGCCCATCTATGCATGCTTTCTGTACCATGCATGGCTACCTAGAGACACACATAGGCAAAGGATGGCAAGGAGACGCAACGGGAGATCCCAAAAGAACACTTTACTTGGGGAGAAGAGAGACGCCATGACTGTAAACTTCCACTCTGGGGCATGAGAGGGATTCCAGACTCTCCTCACCACACACTATTCCTGAGAAACACACTGAACCTCTCTAGAGCCTCACAAGCTGCCCATCTCAGCCAAGAGTCTGACACCCGAGTGTCCCAGGAGGCTATGACACAGGACCCCTTACACAGTCAGTGAGAATGGATGTGTGTTGTTCTTCTGAGGGTGGGTGGCCGGCAGGCTTGCTTTGGTTGAGAAAGGTGCTTCCAGTTTTCCACTCCCTACCCCTTGTGATGCTGGGAGAGACCCCAGAATGACAGGCCAATACTGTGCTACACAACCACACCCCCAGCCCCAAGGGAGCTGAAGAATTAATCTATCTATGGCCCTGGAGAAAATCAACAAGGGTGCTCCTTTCTAGTCTCTTAATACCCCAGAGATTCATTCCTGTGCACCTCAGTATTAAGACACCAAAACAAAAGGGGAGGGCTCTGCCTTGGGCCACAGAAAAGAAGCGGAAAGACTCACGACTTATGTATATTCCTGTAAGATTCGAGGTGAAGAGTAGAGGATGCGGCCGGGAGCAGAGAAACCCTGTGGGTTCACCCGCATGGGGGAGTGCCGGAGAGAGCCTGACAGGGGGATTTCATGAAATTCCTCTCCTTAGAGGCCTGTCTCCTAATGATTTTGGCTTCTGGACCTCACGGAGACACAATAGTAACAAGACTGGGTGGTGACAGGATGGCCTGGGGGTGCTAAAGTGACGTGGTGGCCGATATGTAAGACCGTGTGGCGAGGTAATGACTTCATCTCTGTGCAGTTTAATGACATGACATCTGGAGGACAGGATGCCATAGACAGGGAGTCAGAGGACAGGACTATGAGTTAGCATCAGCCTGCTGAAAGTCTGCCTCCAACAGGATCTAGCTG